GGCAGCTATATTTACACTGTCATTTCAGCCATGCTGTGCTGGCTGAAGTAAATCTTAGTTTCAAACACCAAAGCAATCTAGTGGTTCTCTGGAGAACAGGGTCTCTTGGTTGGAGCTAATCCTTTTTTTTTTTTTTTTTTTTTTTTCATTCTCTGAAGTTTCAGCTAGCTGCTCATTGACTGACTTCAGTGGTTTGTGAGTTCCTAATTTCATGGACATTCTGAGTAATGATTTCCATGCTCCTTTGAAGCACATGCTTGGTGACCTGGTCTCAATCCGATTCAGCACAGTGGAAGTATGATGCCAAAAAGCATGTGACACATCAACCATTGGGAAAAAATTAAAATCCTCTATGTATATTACGCTATAGTTTACTTCAGTTTTTTTACACTAGTTATCCTACCCTTTCATGGGAAGACCCAATAGGATGAGCATTCCTGAGTGGCTATAGCACTTCTTGGCGATGCATGTGAGAGGCAGTGCCTTTCTGGAGAGGAATTACACTTGGTGGGAAAGCTATGCAGGCCTGAACAAGCACACCAGACCTTGCGGCTACGTCTAGACTGGCATGATTTTCCAGAAATGCTTTTAACGGAAAAGTTTTCCATTAAAAGCATTTTCGGAAAAGCGCGTCTAGATTGGCACGAACTCTTTTCCACAAGGAATAATTTTCCTGAAATGCTTTTAACAGAAAAGTTTTCCATTAAAAGCATTTTCGGAACAGAGCGTCTAGATTGGCACGAACTCTTTTCCACAAAAGCACTTTTTGCGGAAAAACGTCCGTGGCCAATCTAGACGCGCTTTTCCACAAAAAAGCCCCGATCGCCATTTTCGCGATCGGGGCTTTTTTGCGGAAAACAAATCTCTGCTGTCTACACTGGCCCTTTTGCCCAAAAGTTTTTCGGATAAAGACTTTTGCCCGAACGGGAGCAGCACAGTATTTCCGCAAAAGCACTGACAATCTTACATGAGATCGTCAGTGCTTTTGCGGAAATTCAAGCGGCCAGTGTAGACAGCTGGAAAGTTTTTCCGCAAAAGCAGATGATTTTGCGGAAAAACTTGCCACTAGACACAGCCTGCGTGTGTGTGGTGGGGTAAGACATAAATTTCAAGTGCTTTGGACTGCTCAGTGACCATCACCCAGAAGCTTCAGGGCAGCACTTTATCACCATAGTTAGGGAAGGAAAACAACATGTCAGCTAGAAAAATCGGACCAGATATACACAGCCTAGGTATTATTGATATAGGTGGGAACCCAGGTAGCGCTGGTCTTTAACAAGGGTCAGAGCCTCAACTTGTGTCCGTCAACAGCGCTCCACAGGTAACAGGAACGATGAGAGCTAAGCACCTCGCCAGAGTGCTGAAGTTGTAGAGCCCATGGGTCACACCAGAGCCTTAAGGTGTCCTCATTCTTAACAATTGGGCTGTCCTGGGTGCTTCGGGGACATGCTCGGCTTTTGCCCTCTTCAGGGCACTCTCCAAAACACTTTCCCCATCATTCAACCCTAATTTTGTGAGGGCTTTGTACGAAAAAAGCTAATCAATTTAAAAACACTTTTTAAAAATCTTAAATCTCTCTGAACTGAAGAGTATGGTCTTAGTATTCATATAGAATCATAGTGGTGTGACTTAGTTTTAATCTGAAAGGATTCTGTTTTCAATAACCAGGTGTAATTTAACTCAATTTGGCCTGATTAAAAATTCAGTTTTGATTTAGTTCTATATTCTATAAGTCTCACATGCTGCAATGAAATCCTCAGGTACAATTAGCCTTTTTTCTAATATATTTGTATTACTCAGTGGGTTTGGAGGGCTTGGCAGTGAGATTTATTGCAATGCACATTATTTGCCTTGAGAGTTTACAGAATTTACTTTGTCATTTGTTTTTCAATGATTCTTTTACTAAAGATGTTGAAATGAATTTAAAAAACAACCCCTGTCACATGCAACATTTGCTCCAATTGGGACCTAAATGAGCACCAAAGAGTGCCTGACCTCTGTCACTTCCCCTGTCAGAGTAAGAGAAGCGTTTAGGACAGGGCTGGGGGGGGGGTCTCAAATTTCACTGCATCATGATCCCCTTCTGACAACAAACATTATTACAAGACCCCAGGGCAGGGAACCAAAGACTGAGCTTGCCTGTGCTCAACTGCCCCAGCTTTCAGGGGGGTGGGTCTCAAAGCACAAGCTCCGCTGTTCAGGGTAGGGTGGGATGTGGGAGTTGCAAAACCAAAGGGCTTCAGCTACTTGATGAAGTCCTCAGACTTTGGACCCAGTGAGTGCTTCAGCTTTGGCCTGACAGTGGGGCTTAGTCTTGGTTTTTGACTACTGGCCCCCGCAAGTCTAATGCCAGGCCTGATGACCTCATTAAAATGGGGGTCATGATCCACTTTGGGGTCCCAACCCGTATTCTCTGTAAGCTGTGCTGTTGTGCAGCCCAGCTCATTAGCAGAGTGCCCATAGGTAGGTTGTTTGTTTCTACTGGTAGTGCACATTCACACATGCCTCAGTGGATCTAAAATTTATTCCACACATAGATGGAAAAAATCCACATATGAATGGAAAAGATTAGAGGGAACATAGGTCCCAACCCTCAGTTTGAGAACCACTGGGTAGTCAAGGACAAAAGAGGACCTTAGACTCATCAGGAGGTCCATCGTTATCTCCTAGAGATCAAGAAGTGCAATCTTCTTAAGTTAACAAAAAATAGCTTCATCACTGTTCTGGATGCTGGGGCATGTTCCATGTTCCCCTCCCATTACTGCTTTTTCCAAGCTAGGATTTTGGGAAACCCTGATAGGTGACAACCCTGGGATGTGCTAAGTTAGTCAGCAAGTTAGTGACCAAGGACAGTGACAGGATCCTTCCTGTGGCCAGTAGTCTCAATAACAAATCCCTTTTCAGAGTCGTCTCAGCTGAATCTTGTCTCCTGTCTGCCACAGAAGGCACTTGAGGCACTAAGGGGATGTCACTCAAAAGAGTTGTGGGTCACAGATCACATCAACAGGGTCAGCCTCACACGCCTAATGTCCCAACCCAATCCCCAGTTAAGATCCAGGGTATGTCCACCTACCTCTTTTAAGCCAGAAACTAGCTGGGATGGTCTCAAAAGATATCATCCATCACAAGTCATGCAGAGCTGTCAATAACTGAGCTCAGCAGCACCACATATGATACCCACAGCGAGGTTTTACTGTTATGCTCAAGCAATATGCATTTCTTTGAAAGAGCTGATTCACCTCTTCCCTCCATCCCTGCTTCTAACCAGGAGTCTGAGGTAATGTAACTGAATCATTTGTACACAGGCATTCAGGCTGTAGCCATCTGAGCACATCTTGCAAACTCCACAATCAATAAGGGGAGTTTTCTGTTTCATTTACTCTTTAGCACACAGAACGAAGTGAATCCTGTCAGCTATGCTGACTGACTCAATGTGCTGTGACAGGCAATGGGGCGGGTGCTGGTCTCAGCCTCTTGGATAGAGGTGTTGCACGCCATTGTTTTAAAACTAATCTAGGGACAAGGAGATAGGTCAGAAAACAGCCTGGGATCCTGACCTTGGTTTTGGGTTATCCCTGCATACAAGTATAGCACAGATAGAAGTGATGCACATGTCTCCCATGCAAGCTCCAGCCAATATACCACGGACTGTGAGAGCCCCCATCAAAAGCCA